GCCGGAATAACGTTTAGTTTTTCTGAAGTTTTCTAAACAGGTTTGAGGAGTAGGTTGATATTCCTTCAGAACAAGAGTTTTCACTTTTTCGTAATTTTGCAGATCTTCCTCCTTTATATAAACAAGAACATTTGAAGCTTTTTCTCCAATTAATTTCAATAATATTTCTGATTTGTATTCTTCAGGAACCTTCTTGTGCTTAAATGCTCTTTCGATAGAATCGAAAAATATATTCCATTCTTCTGCTCTCTTCGGTACTGGTATAGTCAGTGTTTCTACTCCTTTGATCAGCTTGTCCAGGGAAATTTCGGTTTCTCGTTCTGTGTTTTGGATTAAAGGTGTTGGACTTCTACTTCCTTCATTTTGAGTTGCTCGAATCTTCGCTAGTTCTATTTCGTGTTCTCTTTCTGTTCTTATTCTTTCTTCTTCCATTTGCATTCTTTCCATTTCTTCTTTTCTTTTTCTATTCTCCACTGTAGTAATCAGAATTTCTTTCACGAAATCAGCATCTTCGATGTATTCCTTGCTATTCTGGAGTTTGTGTTTCAGTTCTACCAGCTTCAAATCTGGGGATGCTTCTTCGCCAATTTCCAATAGAACTGTTACTAAATCCTCTTTCTTTGCGTTTTTGAACATTTTCTTCTATTTTCCTTTAGAATCAAGCCTTTCAAACTCTCGATTAAATAATTCTCACGTTTTTACTCTCTTTTGCAAATGAACACTTCTTTCGTTAGTTAGGCTTAACTTTACGCCTCTTCCGTTTTCAACGCTCTAAGCTTCTAACCTCTCTGGTTTTCTCGTAAGAGAGCGTGTTGTGATGACTTCGTGGTTTAATAAGGCACCATTTAGCAAGACGAAACAAACATTTATTAAATATATAATTCAAAGCATAATATAATAGTTACTCAGAGCAGTACGTCGCTCCTACCGCATAGTACAATCTACTACCTTCCTCTTCCGAGGCTAACATGCAACTCCTAATAAATACATTAACCCTTCTCGAAGAAGAGCTACCTGCGCCAAGCATGCTCTGTTGATCGCCAAACAGTCGCCAGATATCACAACGTCTACATTGCGCTTAAGACTTTTCAGTTTGCTGAACCTGGAGCGGATTCTAGACGGACTAAGATCCATGAACTAGGAAACGGTTGAGAAAATCTGCTGCAAGCAGTTTATGCAAAACGTATCCGTTACGGAGAAAATGCCTTTCAAAACGGTTGATTTAGTAAACATCGGTTCTCTATAGCGTTTTCTGTTTAAAGAATTATATCGAGATATTATCGAGAGGTTGATGGTAGGGAAAGAGGGGTGGGAGATTCTCGGACCTATCCATCTGGGATGCTCTTCTTCAAAACGGTAGGCGGAACTGTACAAAGTCGTACTATCATCTGCATGGTACCCTAACGACAGGCGCAATCTTGCCTCCTTGCCGCGACGAACTTCCGACCAAGGCGTTTGGTTACGGAGTACCTTTGCAATTAATTGCAATTACCTCCACATCACCGTTAATGAAAATTGAAATAATTGAGAGATGAAGCATTCGCTAAAGGTGAAAAGAAAAGCTGTTAAGCTGTAGTCAAAAAGCCGCTAAGGAGTCCTCATTGTTAAGACACAGGCAGAGAGTACAAGCAGCTATCACGATAGAAGAGCGTTTAGCCCCCTGTTGTGACTTGAATGCAGGTAATACGAACTTCGGTGACTGTTCTGATAGCAGAAAAGCGAGGTTAGTCACAGCAAAAGCAATAACAGATCGGATTATTTAGTTATGGCAAGTAACACCAGAGCTAACCGATCAAGCTTAAATTCAGTTTTCATCGACAGCATGGCAAAAAAAAAAAAAAAAAAAAAAGAAGAAGAAAGGTAAAGAACATAACTCCATGAGAGTTCAATATTTACTTCGTTATAAACAAAACACGCTTAAGTTTTTTCCTTCCAAAGAATGGTCAAATGAAGAACAATTTTGACCATACTGATTATCACTGAAATATAAAATACGACTCTGTTTCGGATCTCCTGTTGTATGAGTATCTGGATAAGCAGATACGCAATTTTATGCAAAGGTGCAGTCGGTGTTTTTCTATGAACCATCAACTGATGATGTAGAAGTTATTGTGTAACATGTGAAGGGGGTTAATATACGTAAAAGAAATGAGATCATTACCTGGGAAAAGGTTCGTAAATGTTTAAAAAAGTAAACAATTCATAGCCAGGAGAATAATAGGAATTAATAAATTGAAAAGGTAATTTCTGAGGAAGTGGTTCGCGCAGTGTCTGAAGGTTGTCTTTAATCAGGTAGTCTACAGCACAACACAATAAGTCCTTGGCGTCGTAGCACGGTGTTAACAAAAGAAACGTTTTTGCTTGTTTCTAGCATACGAAGACTTATATACGATTTTTAGATTCTATTTTAATTGTTATTCTTTCAGTTAGAAATTCAGGTAGCAAGGATAACAATTAGCAGCATTACGTTTCGCTAAGTATTTCGAAAAACAGCCACGTACTCATTATCACGATCGTCCAGTATCACCGGTCGGACTAGCACTTTGAGGACCAATAGCGCTGCAAATGTGTCATATATAGTGTAGAAAACGAGGGTAATGATGCAGAGTAGAATCAAAAACGAAGGCACAGTTGCATCAAAGTTGTGGGAAGAGCTTTTGCTAAAGGCGGGTTTCACTTCAGTCATAAAGTTTCATGATGTTATTTCTCATCGGCGCAGGAAATAAGGAAATGCACATTTCTAATGCACTGAAGTATTCAAATTTAATTTAGAAGTTAGAAATCCTTAGTAAATTAACTAAGTTTCAAATTTCAAATATCGATTCTTTTTATACGTATAATAAGATGAAAAGAATGAGGGGGGGGAAATGGGAAAAAAACAAATATGCAGTTTATCTAGATCAGCTGAAAACTCACTAACAGATATAAACTGAATGTATTTGTTGTTAAAAGCTTATTCTAAACCCTGAAATTTAAAATTTAACTTTTAAATTTTATTTAAAATGCGTGCTATATATAGTAATTTGAATAAATTTTAGTACATTACTGAATGTTTTGGTTTGGTTTATTGAGATTACGGCAAAGCACACTACGGCTATCTGCCTAAGGGAAGAGATGCCTTCGTGGAGGACGTTCTAAGGACAACTGGCTCGTATACACGTTACACATGGGGAAAACTCAAAAACGCCCATGCAGCCAGCCCGTTTGTGGGATTCGAACCACGGACCGAACTACCAGTGTTCAGTGATATTCGGTCGTTGGGGGGCATTATTGAAAGCAAAGACGATAGGGGGAAAAATTCAATTTGTTTCCCAGGAAAGAAAATTCTACATGAGTAAAATATCAATAAATCATTTAGCTTATTAGTTGACTCATTATCTCAATGAAGAAACTTATGTAATAAATGTAAATTGAAATTTGGATTTTAAAAAGTTTATTTTTTTATATTTTTATTACCAAATGTATTATACGAACGAAACGTTATTTTAGCGCAGTCTTGGAAAACATTTAGTTACACATTAGTTCACTTGCACTATTTATACTCTTTTAACTGATAAAAGCATCCTGAACCATTAATTTAGAAGTCAAAAAACAAAAATCAGTGTAATATTTTTCAAATTTTCACAGGACTAGTTTCGATGGTTTTAATGAACCATCATCCTTATCTGCAAAAGCGCAAATGGCGCTTCATTTGCGCTTTTGCTGCTGAGGATGATGGTTCGGTAAAACAATCGAAACTAGTCCTGTGAAAATTTAAAAAAAATATTACGCTGATATTTGTTGTTTGACTTCTAAATTAATATTTGTTCGGCGTGTTATTGTATCTTAATTCTGGACCATGTTTCAAATATTCTCTATTACTCAATCAAAATATAAATTTTGTCGAAGAACTTTTAGGCCAGTTTCATATTTCAGCGTCACAGTAAAACAAGAGCAACAGAAAAACTATCTATGAATTATGGGTTTTTTAACATTACATTGTTACCACTTTCTTGATCCACTTATCGTAATTCTTATTTGCTTTCGAGAATGTATTTCCAGTTCATTTGTGTTAAGAATAAAAAAGTAACTTCAATTTCAAGTTCCCCAACTAATCGCAGTAAACACATTCTGCAAGCTTAATGGCATTTTTCTTTGACGAGTGTTTAACATTAATGTCTTCTCATGATCGCGACCAATGGCCTTAATGAGACATTAAATCTGTTCTGCAAGTTAGACGACTTCGTCAACCATTTCCCTAAAAAGCAATCGGTAACACTGAGACACTTAAATACAGATAATGAACTGAATGAAAAGAAATTTGAGTACAATTAATGAGACGCCTTTTGATTTATCATATGAAATATCAGCTTCTTTCTTTTTTTGTGACTGAAATCCTTTTCCTAACTGCATACTAATTACCATATGATACATATTATACATAATGTCGTATCGCATTTAATTATTTATTTACCTAAATGGGTTAATCTAAAAATGATCACATAAGTAGTTATTTAAATGCTCACCAATTTGCTATTATTTTAAATTAGATAAATATAAAACAGAAATTTGCTGAAAATTACGTTATGTGTAATGCAAATAGTAACTGAATTTTTCCTAATCAAAATTTTAAAAGAAATAATTTGTGCCACAATACGGCTATTTACTCTTAAGTAATCACCTTCCCTTTAAAAAACTCACGTTAAAAATCTATTCCCCTAAAGCAATAATTAAAATATATAAGGTAATACGCAAAATCCGGGAAAAAATCGATTTAAAGAAGTTTTTTTTTTATAAATCTTCCTAATTAGACGCACTAAAAATCAATTAATCAGGATATAAAGATAGGTAACTTTACACTTTTTTATACTTCTTCATATGGAACATTTTACGCAATATGTTTCTTAGAATAAAAGGCTTTTGAAAATAAAATATTTATAATTTTCCGCTAGTTGATGGGAGTTTTAAGTAGACTGTATAGTTTATTTACAAAAATTTACCAAGAAAAACATACTACTTACCCTCTTTTAACTGCTTCAACCCCTAGCTGCACTGATGATCTATTGAATTTGCGCATCCATGTGTAAAGGTGAAGCTTGTTGCGCTTCAGGACAGCCTCAGTATTTCCATTAGGTATCGTGCCAAAACGGAATGGAGGATCTGTTATGTACGGACTTGTGAGCTTCAGAGAGAGAAAAAAAAAAAAGAAAAGATAAATTATGTGAGAAGTTGCAGTTATTTTTCTTAAGATTATTTTTCGTTATTACCTATAACAAAAATAAAATCAAATGCATTTCAATTCATACAAGGCTAAGAAGCTGAATAAAAAAATTTATATTAAAACTGTAGATTTGCTAAGTTATTAAAAACAAATTAAAGCAAAATTAGAGTTTTGCGTCGTGTTAAAAGAGATGAATTATATATATATATATATATTATATTTAAGAAAATGTTTTAAAATGTCTCAATTTCTAAACGCATAACTTCAGTTACCTGAGAAATGGTGGCTCTTGGATTTCTCAAAAGTTATCTTTCAGGATTATTTTAGCACATCCACAAAAATAAAACTTTAACTCATATTTATAACACAGGTAACAGTTTTACTAAAGTTGCTTCTTAAGAGGTATATGTAGCGCATAATAACGTTTGGGACAAAATTTAGAGTTTTAATAAATTTAGAACAGCTTTTTAACTTCCTTTTACGAAGTAAAAAGGAAATATTGTAATCGCGAAAAGTTTCAGGCAGCATATTTCAACGAAAATATCCATTTTGACCGCTTTCGAATTCAATTTAACGGTGTATTTTCGTGACATCTGTACGTAAGGACAGAAAAAAAGACTCTTTTCCTCCAAAAAATTATAAAACTGCTTTAAAATGAATTCTGAAGAGAATTTTTCGTGGCGTCCGTCCGTCCGTATGTACGTACCTATCTCGCATAACTCAAAAACGTTGCCTCAGAACATTGAAATTTTGTATATAAGCTAGGACTGATGTGCACCCCGTATTTTGGTTGCAATCGGTCGCACCAAACGTATATAAATATATTTACATATATATACACTCTGTTACCCGGCTCAGTGATCTCAGTTTCTTTACTCTTATATGTTTGTAAATTGTGCATTTTTTGTTTAAAAATGATTGAATTATGTTGTTCTTATTATCAGGTTAAGATTTCTATGATTCCATAAATCTGCAAGCAATATTTGTACAATTATCAACAATTTAAATGCTGTTTAAGTGCGGTTAAGCCTAATTTTTAAATAACATGGCGGATATATTTGTTTACATTTGAAACAGCGGAATAGTATATTTTTTTTTTTTTTTTTTTTTTTTTTTTTTTTTTTTGTTTTTTTTTTTTTTTTTTGCCAATCTAGAGAGACTAAAGCTTGGCGACAAAAACAAAGAAAACGATAACGGCTTCATTTACTATGGCGAATTAAATCATGCTTAATTCCTTTCTGGAATTTTTTCGAGGGAAATAAGTGTTTAAGATTTACTTTCGTAATTTTCTAATATAGGATATTTAGACTTTTTATGTATTTTTGCCTTCTCGCGAATTGAGAACTGAAATTAATTGAATGAGAAATACTCAATCATCTGTGAAAAAACTGTTTCTTTTTTTTTTTTTTTTAGTTGTTGTTGTTTTGTTTTGTTTTGCTTGCTTAATTTCTTTTATACATCGTTCTAGCTTTATTATAGTATTTGAAGTAGAACATGTGTCAACCATTAGATAATTCTTCAAATGATATAAATTTTGTGTATTGAGTTATAATATGAACGAAATATAACGCTGTTAAGTGAACCTAGCGCCAGAGTGTCGCTATGATAAAAAATATAGTGAGTTTTAAAGAGTGCATTTATTCTATTGTGTTTTATGCGCTATCGACGAATTAGATTTCATTCAATCTAATAAGTTTAAATGAAATGCAAGAAAAATGCGCATAATTTAATATTCCGTACAAGGAATTTATGTGGTGTACACATCAGATTCTTTAATATTGGGAAAATAAAAGCAGGTATAAGAAAAACCAAACATTATTTTCATTTCCAAGCGTAATATAAATGGAAAAGCGGATAAGATAAATTGATGCACACAGAGATTCAAAACAAAAGTAGTCCATAAAATAGCTCTGGAAAGAAATGGTTCTTGAACACTCAGTAACGTTATTAAGACGGAATAAAGACTGCCCTTTAAATTACATTCCGGTCACGTAACAACTTTTAGTAAAAACGCACAAAGTTTAAAATTGCATTCGAGCCCTCTATAAAGGAAGTTCCAATTAGTAAACTGGTCAGCAGCCTAATCAATATTTCAAATGTAACACATCGGTTCTCTAATAGGCAAAACTAGTGCGCAAAAATTTTACACAATTTTAAATGGATGAATACAACAAAAAATTCAATTTTTGAGTTATATTAAAATTAAATTCAGTTAGGTAAGAGATTCCCGGCACGAAGTAAATGAAGTAATTTAATTACAAAAAATTTCGGGTCTGATATTTCAAAGTTAATATACATTTTGATCGCTCTCGAATACATCTGAACGAAATTTTTGGGTGACATCTGTACGTACGGACATTATAAACGACTGCTTTTTCTAAAACGGATAGTGAAACGGATTCAGAAGAGAATTTTTTGTGACGCAGGTACATAAATACACGTATAACTAAAAAACGAAATATTAGCCGTAGAACGTTGACATTTTACACGCAGGACAGCTGTAACGTCTAGTTTCGCACCCCCCTTTCGAATCGGACGTACTAAATGTGCATACATACCCACCGTCTAAGCCAGCTCATTGAGCTCTGTTTTTTTTTTATTATTTTTATAAATAGTAAATTGTGCATTTTTTGCATTAAAAGGGATTGAATCACACTGTTTTTATGTCCTGGGTAAGATTTTTAATGGCTTTACCTATGCATGCAATAGTTGTAGAATATTCAACAATTTAAAAGTATAAGTGGCGGCCTGATGTGCCGGACATTTGCTTACATTTGAAACTCTTAGTAGTATACTAAATTAAGTCATTTGGTGCACCAGTTTTCTATGTCTTTTTGTTCAGTGGTACCAGAAGCTAACCTTGCGTTTTTGTGAACCGAAAATATTCTTTTCTGCCTGTTGGCCCAATTTCTTGTTTAACTCTAATTTTAATTGCAAAAAATGTTTTTTGTAAGTGCTTTTAACTGCATTCGGTGTTTTAGGTTCTCTGTGTTTACAATTTTTTATAACGTTGTTTTGAGATTTTATGTATTTTTGCCTTGCCAGGAAATAAGAACCGAATTAATTCAATGAGATATATACCTCTAATGAAATTCCAGGTAATACGTTTAAATGAAATGCAGCAATAAATATGTATAATTTTAGAGGCCGTGCAAGGAAGGCGTGGTGTCTACAGTAGATTTTAAATTTAGCATTCTAACAAAAAGGAATTTGGAGCCTATCTTCCTACATTAGAGATTTTCTTTAGTAGAGGGTATTTTCTCAGAGTCTTAACAGCGTAGCTGTCTAAAGGGATTTTATCTTTTAACATTCGAATGCAAAATTTAAGAATTCCCAAAATATGTTTAATGTTAAGCGATGTTTGAACCTAAAAGCAATAATTATCCTGCCGGGAGAACTATGCACAAATTCTGAGTCGAATACGTAACTTTACCTGAATTCTAATACGTCAAATACGTGTCTACGGAGCTGTGTTTGAGGTGGGAATATAAACGCATGAGGTGTTTTTGGCGATGTATGTGCTTCTAATCCTTTAAAATTTTTCGCCGTGTTTCTCGCAAGAATTAGAAGAATTTTAAAAGTTTATAAAGTATTTTGTCCCTACTTTTCTCATATCTTCGTTGTGTAATTGGAAGCATACTCGACACTTATTCGAGAGGTCCAAGGTTCGAGTCCCGGAGAGGACATTGCACATTTTTCAATTATCCTGCTTCAAAATAGCCTAATGACACAACACTGGCCTCCGAACTAAAAGGTAGTGGACAATAATTCTTCAACACCAGGATTTGGTGATTGGTCTCCTAACCCCCGTTCGCCCTTTAAAATGAAGTGTATGTACGATATTTTCTTCCTCCTTTCCACATGCCTTCATGGTGTAATTGGAAGCACAACTCGACGCGTATTCAAGAGGTCCAAGCTTCGAGTACCGTAGAGGGCACTGTACATTTTTCACTGCTCCTGCTTTAAAAGAACCTAAATAATCTACAAGTTATCAATGTGTAAAATGAGTTGTCACAAACGTATGGATGATGATATGAGAAGAAGAATTGTCTGTAGATTGGAGGTAGGATAGTGAGAACCTAATGTCTAGTGCAGTGTGCAATTTGTGGGAATAGTTCTAGGACCCTAAATTCATATTATCAAAATCTCGGGAAGGCTGACCAACATCCATAACGACGAATGAGGATCGTTATTTGTCACTTTCATAAGATGATACAGGATTACTACAGCTTTACAGCTCTCATATCAGTATAAGTTGTCACTAGAACCCGACTCTCCCAGGCTACGTTTGATGGAAGGCTTCCTGTATGCCAAACGACCCGCTGTTTGCCTTCCGCTCACTGCAGCACACGGTTTAACATGATGCAGGCAACATTCGCCTTGGACCAGACTTCAGTACAGTACCATGCTGAGTCAGGAATCGGTCTGTACATTTATTCTCGGTGTATCTGTATCTCGACAGAGCCTAAAACATGCTACTATCGGTCCTTCACCAGAGAAGAGGATTATTGCGATTGTGAAGGTGTAATAGTTTGGGTAGGCCGCACACCCCTGTATGTGCTTGACAAAGGCTCTCTGAACTTTATTAACAGTAGATAGGAGTTCGTGAAACCTCACGTTCGACTTTTCAGATGGCAGTTGGTCCTGGGTTCCTGTAAATGGACGACAAAGCTTGCTCACATAGGGCTTATCTGCTGACGATTACTTAGAAAGTGAGGATATTGGTCGCACGTACTGGCCAGCCTGATCTCCACAGCTACACAATTACCTAAGTCGCTGTTTGGAGGACAATCCTATCTTGCCATCCCTATCCGAGAACTACCCTGGAGTTGAAACTGCCTTGCTACAAGAGTAGGAACAAATGTCACAGCGACTTCTCAGCTGCCTTCGTTTCAGTATGCCACCCCGATGCGCGACCTATCTGGCTATAAAGAGAGGACTATACCCCATATTAGACTCATTTTCAGTTAGAAATACAACATCCGTGCATTAAGAGCTTACTGGTAATCATACGTACATAAAATAACTTTTGAATGTCACATCTCCTTCTCCCTTGTAAATGTACGTTCAAATCAAATTTGATTAGAATCCATCCTTCAGTTTTTCAGAAATTCGATGTTAAGATCAAATTCTCTTAATATTGCACACGGCTGTAATTCCCAACAGAATTTTAATTACCTTAGAAAAATCAGAGTCCTATGAGAATGATCAAATCAAGTTACGAGAAAGCCTTTCCTTTCTGCATATTTTCTACAAGTCCTCTATAAGTCTGCGTTAATTACGTTCCTATCAAAAATGCTCACAAGGACTAAATTGCAGCTCGCTGAATATTTGTCTTATTTGATTCAATACTTAAACTTGAAACATGGTTTTATGATTAGATTTTCATAAATATTTAGTCATGGAATTTTTCTGAAGTACTCTATATTATACAAAGAATTATGTTCTCTGTTTTCAAACATTAGATAATTTTTGATGAATACCAAACTGGTCGTATCGTCTTCTGATTTACATACTAAATACTCTAAGGTAGGATTAAGGATATGGAAAATGGGGACTGATGGTTTGTTACCCAGAATGAATTATAAGAAACTTCTCTATTAACAAAAGTTATGTGTTACTTTATTTCGAAAATTCTTGTTGTCTGCATTTAAATCTTAATTCGCGCACATAAAATAAAAATACTTCTCTTATTTCACACAGCCTGAAACTGTTAGATTTCAAAGAATTCTAGACAAATTTAGATGTTTTTCGGCTTTTGATTTAACATTTAATGTCTCAAAAAAGCCCAACCTTTGTATGTATAATTATCGAGGAGCTTATATTTATAATTGCTGCTCATAATATTGTCTGCTGGTATAAATACACACCAGTAGTCATTGATAATAAAGAAAATTCCGTTCCTGAAGACATTGCAAAAACGCATTGGCAAATGGATTTTAAAATTGCTTATGCATTCGTGTTTAGCGTCCATCTTGAACTTGGAAACTCTATAAAAATATTTTGCTTTTCGCAAGCATTATGACATTCATGAAATTTATATATCATTTCTTATTTGTAAAAATACTTACGCTTTTAATTTGTCATATTCTGATACATACTGAGAATAAAATATCATTGTTATCACCTAAATTTTGACGTTAAAATATAATATATATGTATATATACATTCCTGGCCATTAAAACAACTACACCATTAAAAATGTAAGCAAAATCCCATTCATTGAAAAATGCACTCTAATGAAAGGACAGAATGATTAAAATTTCAGGTAATTTTGAGGCATAAAACGTGTAGTATCTTGCGCATTCCCTTCTGGCTCAATAGCAGCTATTATGTGGTTATCGAACAAACTTTTGATGGCACATTTGGGGTATCGCATTTCAGACGGCTTAATTCCATGCCAGAATTTTATAATCAGTCGTATTGGCTGCTAGGTGTAGTCGCGCTAGTCCTTCTCCATCCATTTACCAGACGATTTCTGACTGTAAAAGACCATGATACTCTGAACGAGAGCAGAATTCATCAAAAAAGTTGACGCTGCGCCATTTAATGTTTATATGCGTCATCGAAAGCGTTATTGTCGGTCCTGATTCCCGTTGTTGCACCATGCGGAGCCAAAGAAATAGTCGCTGTGCTGATAAAGCCTGTATTTGCCGACATTATCTCACAGTATATTAAATGGGGTCTACTCTGCAACCGACCCTTTTTTGAGACCTGTACCATCCCTTATAATTTTGTGAACAATAAGAATGCCGTATGGGCATCGGAGGACATGAGCCACTGAGATGCCCCACATCACTCTCTTTCAGAGCCCAGTGGACGCATAGAAGCAAAAGCGATTTCCAAATAAAAGAACAGACATCTAATCTACTTTCCATACCGTTTCGCCATATCACTGGTTTTTTTTTATACAGTAGTGCTATGTCATTATTCTTGCTTGCAGTGAAATGCTCGTCATTTGTATATCCCAGAATGTTCTACATTTCGTCTAAGTTTCATATTTTTGTGCGGTTGTTTCATTAAGTAATTTTGATAGCTATCAGTTTAGCTTTATATTTTTATTTCGCATTTAGAGCTAAGTGATAACCCAATACGCTAGGTAAATCCTAGCTGGTTTGAATAAATAAATTTTCTATCTTTGTAGCATCCAGCTTAACAATAATGCAATTAACTATTTTCATTAACAAATAAAAAACAATTTGATTATCAGAAATGTAAAAACTAACTTCAGACAGAAACAGAATAGTTATAATAACGTACCCTTTTGTCATCTATCCCTTGAAGATCATAGTATTCTTCTCTGGTTATCATGAAAGCTGCCAAATTGGCAGTGTAGATAGCAAGAAATACGACAGCAAACATGGCCCATACATTGGACATGAACCTTGCAGTAATGCCACGAGGACAGTCCACGTTAACTGCAGCTCCAAACAGAATTGCCCAAACCAGCCAGTAGGTTCGGAAGAGAGAAAATTTGTGATCTTTAGAAAAATTGAAAAAAAAAAAGTATTAAATAAGAGAGCGATCGCTATAATTTAAAAAGAAGTCCAGTTGGAATTCCGTTTTTAAAAACAATTAATAATTCCTTTATAATTCATTTAATAATTATGTTATAATAATATATTTAACAAAGACGCATTTTAATTTAATTGGATTAAAAAATTACATTATTTTAAAATAAAGAAATTAAACTTATCATGAAAGTGAAAATATAAAAACCTCGTATTTTTTTGTAAATTATTTTATAAATAAATGAATAATGATCCTATAATAAAGTAAAACTTTCAGCCTTAAGCTAAAAATTTCGAAAGAAAGAGAAAAAAATTTTTAGCACCTCGTAAAAAAATTAAGAGTAAAAAATAGGCAATTTAAATTCTGTGTCAAACACTAATCAAGTATTATTAAGATGAAATTTACAGTGTTTTTTCAATTAAACTTCGAGAGCATTCTCGTAACCTTAAAAATTTTAAATTAAAGAAAAAAAAACAATCTTAGATGGGCTTAGATTGTGAATAAATCTCTATCAACTTTGAAAGAAATCATACTTAGGTTCTTCTTCTTCAGCATGAAAACATTTGCAAAGTATTCTTCTCCACAATAATTATTAACACTCATTCTTCTCCACAATAACATTAATATTCAGAGAATAAAATTGTATACTAAAAGCTAATATAAACTCAGTTTGCTTTCAGAAGCAAACATCCTATTTACGAAAGCCAATATTTCATTTTAAATGATATATCTTAATACCTAATTTTCCTATATAAGTAAAAAATAAAAGTGAATACTTTTTAAATTTATTTCTTTGATTCAATCAGAATTCGAAGATGAATTTGACTGAAAAACGCATAAAACTTTATTCACAACAACTTAGAAAATAATTCTAAATTAAAGTTTCATTTACACAGTTTCTCAATTAAATGAATTTTTGACCACTTAATTAATTTGTTTCATTATGTAAGTGATACGATCTTACAAAATATGCCCAGAAAATGCGTAAAACTAATAAAGTGCAGCAATAAATTTCTCAAAAGCAGCATATTAATTTTTGCCCTTCATACAAGTGAAAAAAATAGCAGGAACATCCAGACACCATGCAGTTGAAGAATCTCAAGTTCAAGAACATGCTATAAACATCATGCAATAAATTTGTAAAAATGCTTTTAAACATTAATAAATTTTTAAAATATGCGAATATACACATTTTTAAATATAAACAATAAAATATTTAAAAATATAAACATTTTTAAAATATGCGAAGTTTGGACTATAAGGCAAAAGAATAACCGGAGCTATATTTTTCAATGTGCGCATATTCCATATTATGGTAATAATTATAATAAATATGGCACACGCTTATGCATTAAATTATTATAGTTGAGCATTCCAACAGCCGTATCAGTATATAAGGTATTTATTCTCTCCTTTCCGCATGCCTGCGTGATGTAATTGGAAGCACACTCAACGAGCATACGAGAGGTCCAGGGTTGGAGTCCTGGCGATGGAACTGCACATTTCTCTTGTATCCTGCTTCAAAAAAACCTAATTAACTATACAAGTGACGCCTGAGCTGAAAGGTGGTGGACGATAATGTGTCACCACCAGGATTTGGCTACTGAGTCCCCTAATCCCTAGTAGCCCTTTAAAAATGTTTTTCTCTCTCCCTTATGCATGCCTACATAGTGCAATTGAAAAGCATAATCGACGCATATTCGAGAGGTTTAGGGTTCCCTGCGAGCATGTTTCAAAATGGAACTATAAGTATATATATATATATATAAGGCAATACTTATTTATTTAATTATTTAATTCGATTTTTCGATACATAATTATTAATTAAAAAAGTAAGTTCTTTTGTTGATATTAAGCAGCAAAAAAGAAACTTCATATATTTAAAAGACATTGTTTTAAATATATAAAAAGATAAATAAAAATATAATTCTTTATTAAAGCTGGTTCAAATTAAGAGTTGATTTTTAATAACCATATTGCCAATTTACAATATAAATGTTTTAGTTTTTATCATCGCTTCAAAATAAAAGACCGTTTCTTTCCCTTATGTTTCGCAGTTAAAGTATAACAACCCAACAAGAAATTGAAAGCTTTCAAAAAAGCAAAGTTTGATTTTTAAATAAAATGCATTTAAAAACAGAAATTACGAAACATATAAATTACATTATTTTACTTTAATATTAACAAGTGCTGTATAAAAATTAAAAGTTCAAGTACAGGAAACTAGAGAAATCCTGCTGAGACAGGACATAAATTATTGTTTTATTTTCTTTGCGTGCGTAATACTTTAGTTTTTCGTAACAGCATGTAACAACTCAAGTGTATAGCTCAAGTGTATAAAAAGCAACTGCATTTTTCTTTCAAAGGAAAACGTTTTAATTTTTCCATGAGTGAATATATGTATAAAAAGTTAATTTAAAATAACTAAATATTTCTTTAAAGCGGTGAAACCTGTTTCTCAGCATTTAAAAGCTGAGTAATTACAAGAAGAAAATAACTTTGATAAGAAAGCCGTATTTATACACCTGCATTACATAAAAATGTCATACTTTAGATCTTTAAACATCGAGAAAGCTTTACGATATTCTGAAGTTTTCCATTTGAATTTCGGACCTGTAGTATTCTGAAACTAGTTTGTAAAAATAATATTTTTAGGGCTGAAATTATGGATTGAAACGTAATAATTATTTTTAGCACATAAATAATTAAAAATTTTCTATTTTAAATCCTAGTAGAATAATTTTTAACTGTTATATTTTCGTAACGTGATACGGAATATCCAAAGGAAGACTGTAGTTTCAAGAAAAGTGTCTTAAACAATTTACAAAAGATTCAGTCATAACAAAATATCTAAACTTTTACTTAATACTCACAGAGAGAAACTACCAATTTGGAAAACAGCTATGCTTTAATGAGCTAAAAATAAAGTTTTCTGTCCTTAAATGCAGTACTCTGTAAGGTGTTTTGAGGAGGACTTCGCTGACTTAACCAGGGTTTCTTAAACTGCGGGTCGCGACCCCCAATGGGATTGGCACCTGCAGCAGGGGGTCGCCAAAAATTTAGCAGTTTTGGCATTTCTTTAACTTATTATAATAATATTACAATTACCAAATATTTTTACACAATGTATCTTCTGAAAATAGATAAAGAAAGGACAATACAGACAAAGAAAAGAACGAAAATGTTTCGACGCATTCTTTTTTAATATAAACATTCATTTTCCTTTCGTTGCACGTGACGCTGCCATTTTGTCTGTTACTTATTTAAAATTTTCACATTGTTAAATGTTTTAAAATTAGAAACTAAAGTTAATGACCTAATATTACAGTAGTATATTACAATACAAGTGAAAAAATTGACAGTTTCATTCACTTATGCGCCGGATTTGCGCAATACTTATGTGTTTCCACAACGTTTTTGTAAATATAATTGGGCCCTGGGAGTCGCGAAATATCTCAGTGATGAAAAGGGATCGCGACTGATATACGTTTAAGAAACTCTGACTTGGACAATATTTCCATTATTTTTAGCAATGATATACGTCAATATTTAATAAAACAAATTGTGTGAGAAGCTTCAAATAAAAATAGCTCGTTTTCGTAACTTATCATTTTACTTCTGAAGAAATAGTATTAGCTATTAATATACTTAGATGACAACACGAAACTATAAATTAATCATATATCAACGAATTTTCCGCATAAAATTATAAAACGCTTCATTTTTACATAATTAAAACATACTGAAAATTTTACTAAATTTTGATTTACAGATAACATATAAAAAATTTGATTTTACATTTACAGAAATCCTCCATCCCGCAATTCTGAAACTGACTGAAATTTCATAAATGATTTTTTTTAATTGTAAGTAAATATTTGATATCCAAGAAAATTATCCTATAGAAAACATTGTTAATACGCTACATATTATTTAAGTATTTTGAACAAGCGAAAATTCTCATGCACACACACAAAAAAAAAAAAAAAAAAAAAAAAACCACTTCATATTTTTTTTTTTTTTTTTTCAAATTCCAGCTATACTTTTTTAAAGAAGGTTTTTAAACATATGTCTGAGGCGTAAAGAATGAAGTAATTAACAGTATTTGTAAAACTGCAGCAGAACGTTTTCATTGCAAACGTTTTTTAATAAGCTACCTTAATTTATTTTTCAATTTCTAGCAGTGGTAGTTGATTCAAGTATGTCGTATTTTTTTGAAGCAAGAAAGAAAACTTCCAAGTGACTTAATTGATAACAATTAATAAGCAAGTTACTTTATGTATTTAATCCGATTAAAATATTTGCGACACTTAACATACATTTTTTTAAAATTTTTGATTGATATCAGTAGGTTCGAACTATTATTTCCAGTTAAATAGTACGAATCCATTTCCGGAGTAAATTTTATATTACTTTCCTTTTGAAAGCATTATTCTAAGGTCATGCATGGCCGTTCATAACTAGAATTTATCAATGTGACAATCAATATTTAGGGAATACAATTTTGACAATATTTTGAAAAATTAGAATAATAAGGGAATTTGAATTTATTTGCAGTACAAATTAAAATAATTTATACAGAAACGTGCACTAATTGTATAACGTTTTCAGAAATATAAATTAATTATATTAATGTTTCATAAATATTACAACGATTCATATTGATTTAAAATGATGAGAATTTAGAACTGCTAATAACTAGTGACGCCATCTGTGAACACTGACTAAAACTACGTAACTTTCTTAGCACTGTCAAAAGAGGGCGCCACTGCAGAAGATGAAAGAAAAACGGACGCAAATTTTGCCGAATTTCAAACGCTTAAAATGAAATACAATAGTTGTTGCCGAATTTCAACGCTGAAAGTGAAACAAATAGTACAGATTTAAATATTAAATAATAAAGTGACTACACGTCCCGAATTTGGCGGGACGGTCATGCTTTTTGGAGGACTGTCTCGCGTCCCGCCGA